CCAATTAAAAAAAATTAAGAATGGAGGAAAAAGAAACATAGAAGGCAGGACGAAAAGCACAAAGATAACTGAAAATCAGGCCAAACGTATCAGTGGACTAGACTGTCCAGTGAAAAAATAAAATTATCAAATTATTGATTAAAAATATCGAGCTCCGGGTTACTGTGGAGTTCGGGGGTAGCAGTGCACTGAGTCACAGCACCGGGGACTCAGCAATGGACCTCGGGCCGTGGGGCAGAGACCGCCTGGGACCGGGACAGATGGACGGACCTGGGGAAGGCACCGGAGGCTGGACTGCACCTGCCATGGGGCCGGGGGGCTGCACCTGCCGTGGGGCCAGGGGGGGTGAACCTGCCGTGGGGCTGGGGGGGGCACCTGCCCCAGCGTGGCCGGCTGGTGTGTGCGGGGCGAGGGCCCTGCTCCCGGCCGCCCCCAGCTCCCCCGAGTGTGCCCGTGCAAGGCTGCAGCCCCCGGCCCCACGGTAGGTGCCCCCCGGGACAGCAGGCACCTGGAGCGCAGACAGCGGGAAGGCGCCAGGCCCAACCTATGCCAAGAACGTGTTTGCAGCCATCGGACAGGCCACGACCTACACCAGGTCCCGCGACGTCAGGGTGGTGGCCGCCTCGGGAGCCAGGGCCCAGCACCGGGCGTCCGGCTAACACCCCCGCTCCTGCCATCGCACCCCTCGTGCCACAGCCCCAGAAGGATGCGCAGGCGGCAGTGAGAGGACGAGGGTCATCACGGTGACGACCGGGGCGCACCTGACACCCGACTAACCGCAGAAGGGACTGTGCGGCCAGGACGGTGACAGGTGCAGCGATAGGTGTGCGGGGAGCACCGCCCCGAGGGGCTGTGCAGGCGGGGACACCGCGGGGACACCGCGGAGGGGCGCCGGGCATGTGGAGGGACGGGGAGGGATGTGCCAGCATCTGTCGGTGGAGGCGCAAGGTGGCGCAGGGGCAGCTGCGGCGGGAGGCTTGGTCCTCAGTCCCCCCCCCAGCTCAGCATCCCCCAGCCTGGCCACCCCAGCTCCCCCCCTCCAGCCCAGCGCGGGGCATCGGGGAAATTGCCTCCCGGGCCGGGTCTCTGTGCTGGAGACGCTGCACCAGGCCGGGGCCTGAGGCTGTCCCCGACGGACAGGGGACTGGAGGGGGTGCCCGTTCTCCTCTCCCCTCGCTCCCTGCTCTGCTCCAACCCGAAGGTCCTGGGCAGGGGAGCAGCTGCAAGAGGGGAGCCCGCAGGACTCGAGCTCCAGGTCTCCTCTACCCAAAGGGACGCGGGGCAGGGACAGGGAAGCATCTGGGCAAGAAGAGCGGGCCCTGGAGGTGAATGTGACACAGCCCCTCGGCCCCCCAGGAAGCCGGAAAAGGCCTGGGACGGAGCCCTTCCCTACCCGGGTACACTGGCCGGGACCACCACACGCTGGCCTGGTGCTGCACCGGGTCCAAGTGACAGTGCGAGCGTCAACGTTTCTTTTAAAGATTTTACTCGACAGAGAGAATGGGAGCGGGGCAGCAGCTGTCGGAGGGAGGGAGAGGCAGCTCCCCGCTGGGCAGGGGACCCCGGGATGGTGACCTGAGCCGAGGGCAGGTGCACAACTGAGCCACCCGGGCGCCCGGTGTCCAGATGCTCCAGCTGGAACCACACACCCTCCCCTTGGCGCAGTCCTCACTGGGGACTTCCGTTCCTGTTGGAACTGCTGGCACGTGCGCCATCATCCTTTCAGTTAATTTTCTTTGGATAATAGTAAATAGTTGAAAACGTGGGATCCTGGATAGGTTGTTTTTTAAGGGTCTGGGATCAACATTCAGGGGAAAAAAAAATCCTTGAAAGACTCTACGTGGCTGAGCACCACAACTTACAACCAGATTTACTAGTGGCTAATCACAACCCAAACTTGCTTCGGATTTTTAAAGGGCGTCTTGTATACCCACCTAATGGTGATAACAAAACGTGAAAGTGTATGGGATGGGCTAAATATAGACAAAAATGGCACCGAAATACTTAACCACTGATGTCTGAGACTGCTAACATATTATTTCAAGGAAAAAAATTGAATATCTGGTATAAACAGTTCTTAACGCTTTTTCTGTTCTTGGCATGGTCATCAGGAGACCCATATATGAGACCCATTATTGACAACCAAAAAATAAAGTTCATGTACTAGAGAAGTGTATCTCCTCTCATCCTTGCTCAACAGCTTGAAGGCATGTGAAGGGTGCCTACGATGGCCTCCTGAGGTGGGGCAAGCCGCAAATGCACGGAAGGAACTCAAGGACTGAAGGATGCATTCTACAAATTTTGAAAAAGAAAGACTTGTATAAATACTCAAATTGTGATGGTCTCACAAAGAACAGCCAAGCGCTGCTGTTTCCTAAGACTGTCACTTACACTTTAAAAATGTGCCTCCAGCGAGCAGGGTCTGAATGAGGGTTGTACTCTGGTTTCCTCCACAAATGATCACTTAGGAACTCCCATGGGCTTGTCTGGAATTCTGGTTTCTCAGTCTTAAAACAGAGACAAAAAGTCTACTTGTCTCGTAAATATAATGAAAAACTTCATTAGCTCACTGAGGCATCTTGAAATAGTGATTAATCCTAAAAACTCTATGACATTAAAAGGTTGAAATCATGAGTAAGAAGCTCTTCATAGCCTTTATTAGTATTTAATGTAAAAGCCAACTAGAAATAAAAATCAAGAGTCAAGCTATGTTTCCCCCATCGTGATTTTTTTTTTTACATGCAAACTGAACCATTAGACTTTTTCAGAAAATTTGCCAGCAGGGGGCAGGGTGCTCATAATTAAAATAAGATTCTATGTTTTAAAAATTTGAGAATATAAATAAATAAATAAATAAATAAATAAATAAATAAATAAATAATAAAAATTTGAGAATCTGATCAACTCCTAGTAGATAGAAAATAGACTAAGAATGATTTTATAAACCTGCTTCAAAGTCACTTGGGCATTTTAGTGTCAAAGGATGTTACTGGAAGCTATCCCTGCTATAGAAGTATCTGTAGTTGTGGCAAAACCACTTTAGAGCAACTTCAATGAACATAAAAACTCAAATACTAATAAGCCTTATAGATCCTTTGACTTTTTTTTTAAAGATTCATCTATTTATTTGTTCATGATAGACATGGAGAGAGAGAGAGAGAGAGAGAGAGAGAGAGAGAGAGAGAGAGGCAGAGACACAGGAGGAGGGAGAAGCAGGCTCCATGTCGGAGCCCAACGCGGGACTCGATCCTGGGACTCCAGGATTGCGCCCTGGGCCAGAGGCAGGCGCTAAACCGCTAAGCCACCAAGGGATCCCCTGACTTTATTTTTTAAAGCCTTTTTTTCTTTCAAGATTTTATTTATTTATCCATGATAGACACACAGAGAGAGGCAGAGACATAGGCAGAGGGAGAAGCAGGCTCCGTGCAGAGAGCCCGATGCAGGACTCTATCTCAGGACCCCAGGGTCACAGCTGAGCCAAAGGCTCAACTGCTGAGCCACCCAGGCGTCCCCGATCCTTTAACTTTATAATACTAAAAGGCAAACTCTCTGGTTTAAACGTTTAATCACTCACTTCAAAAAAATTTTATTGGGCAGCCCAGGTGGCTCAGCGGTTTAGCGCCGCTTTCGGCCCAGGGTGTGATCCCGGAGACCTGGGGTCGAGTCCCATGTCAGGTCTCCACAGGGAGCCTGCTTCTCCCTCTGCCTGGGTCTCTGCCTCTCTCTGTCTCAGGAATAAATAAATAAATAAAAATTTTTAAAAAATTATTTTATCACAGCAATATGCCCATATAAAATTATTTTTCTAAAAGCCGTTCCAATTTTTTAAAAGACTTTTAAGTAATCTCTATAGCCAGTGTGGGACTTGAACTTACAACCCCGAGATCAAGAGACATGCTCTACCGACTGAGCCAATCAGGCGCTCCTCTTCCAATACTCGTAAAGAAATGTTCTTCCGTTTGTTTTTGTTTTTGTATTGAGGACTGCCCTTGGGAAAGAGGAATACAAAGTTCATATATAAAATATTAATTCAGGGCAGCCCGGGTGGCTCAGGCCGGGGTCCTTCAGCCCGGGGTCCTGGGATCGAGTCCCACATTGGGCTCCCCGCAGGGAACCTGCTTCTCCCTCTGCCTGGGTCTCTGTCTCTCATGAATAAATAAATAAAAATCTTAAATAAATACTAATTCAAAATGAGCCCGATAATACTATAAGCCCCAAAAGGAAATTTAGCTTTTTAGATAAAGGAGTAAAAAGTAATTTCTAAACACTATAGAAGATGAAGTATATGCTTCGGTTATTACTAAGCTCAACTGAACAACATAAACCTGATAGTTCACTGAAACAAGGACCATTACTTCAGATCACAGACACCTGCATATACAATTGTATCTTTTATGAGTTAATGACAAAAAAAAAATACATTTTATTCTGGATCACTGCAAGTTTCAAGTCTTTGTCTTGAGGTTTTTGGTTTGTTATTTAAATGAAAATGGTCTGTTACTCTTGGAACTCTTGATCTTAACAGTTGCAGAGGTCCAAATCTGAAGAATTTAACAACAACAAAAAAAGCACTATAAATTACTTACTTGTACAGCATTTTCCTTAGTACAAGTTGTTAAAATTGCCACAGAAAATATCTGCCAATTCTAAACACCTAGATGGGAAATATATCCTTCTATGTTACCCTGTGTTGATTTAATACTTTGGCTATACTGTATATTGTAAAAAAATTATAGGGTTATAAATAACTTATCCGCTAGGCTATAAATCTCACTAAACAAAAAATACAGAAGCAAGCACACAAACAGCTGAGAGATACACTGTAATTTTTCTTTTTTTCCAGTTTCACCTTAAGATCACAAAATTACACCATTTTTATTAGATTTGAGCACAACAGAAGTGCTCAAATTCACCTTATTCTAACAATAGGGCAATGAAGCACAATGAAAAGCTGAATTCTAACTGTAAATGTTTTTTTTTTGAAACATAACATTTTCAAATCTGCTTAAATCCAGAGAGATTTTTATTACACAATTTGATTTTTACATCAATAAAATCTTAGATATATAACAATACAGATGAAGGAACAAGAATTTAATTTGTATTGAAATAAATTAGATATACAAAGCACATAGAGTGAAAAAGGGTCACAATAAATTAAAGTGGAGACATCATTTTGTTCAATCACCAAAGAAAGCCCTGACACTTCCAATTTCATACCATCAAATTTATCATTCTTGCTGATTTAAGCAGAACACAAAACAAATATGGATCCCAGGGCTTACTTTCACAGGTACCAGCATAGATAATTTACTACAGTGATCCAATTTGGAAATCAGTAGGGACCAGTAAATCGCTGCATAAAAGAAAGAGCGAATGAGGCCCTTTTTCCTTAGTGTCAGCAGGCTATGATTATTATGTTTATTAGATTTTCTTGAAAGGACTTCACATTTTCTCAAATATTCAGGAGAAATATATTTCCCCTCTGAGCCCTACATTAGCATTTATGTGCGTTGGTCTTGAATATAGGAGAATGATGAATTTTTCAATTTATTTTATAAATTTATACAGTCTGGATAGTATTGGCCTGAAGAGTATAACTCCCCAACCTGTACGGATTAGATACTAAAAATGGATTCAAGAGAGGTTACTAAGAAATGCTGACATACTATCTACACAAATTTTTTAGTTCAATATATCCCATTATATGGAGCACCATAACTAATGCATTTATAAATCAAGCAGTGTTTTATGACTCTTTCTAGACTTTGTGACCCTTTTACATTTGTTCCAGTAAAGACACATCACAAATGTTACCTGCCCAAGACTTTGCCCATTTGGTCTCAACTTACAAATATATATGAAGGCAAAAATTCATATCAAAAGCAATTGTTCTACTCGGAAGGTACAAAAGAAAATCTAGAATTCAACTGTCATGAACCAAGAAAAAAAAAAAACTAGTTTAAAAGGATTGAGCATATCAAAAAGTTACTTTCAAGAAGGCTATGAAGGAAAATGTGAGATGACTGGAGCCTTTCCTTCTCCTTTAATGTGAGTTAATTTTTAGATTCCAGCAAAGGTATCTACCAATTTTTTTTTTCTTACTAATTCTCTACGAAACAGAATCTGCTTTAGATTTTAAAAATACTGTAATTTTTCTCCTGTCGCATCAACTCAAACTGAGTGCAGCTTTCCTATTTGCGCTGCACAAGAGAAGGAGCACTCTAGGGTTCATCCCTCACACAGAAAAAACCAGTTCCTTCTCAGGACCCACCTGAATACCACCTTAGAAGATACATGTGTCCAAAATAATTACTAGCGGGAATCCTTCCAAATTTTCTTATCCTAATACCAGATGCAGCAACACCTTTCCACTCTGAATATTAGAAGAGGGCTGCTCAATTAAAACTAACCCTGGAAACGACTCCTGGATTTACAGACATACTTTTGCCACACTATCTACTCAACTACATCATATATATATATATATACGCACAGACACATATATATATACAGCCTCTGCAGAATTCTAATCCTAGAGAAATTCCACTATGGTGTAAAAGAGAAACTAGTTGTCTCTGCAACTCAAACTGAATTTACAAGTCTAAGTATCATTCTTGATATAATAACCAAAATATTTCAATATTGCTTTTATATTACCACGAAAAGTCTAAATTTTAAGAGACTGAACTGGCCATACCTTGTATACCTACAAAACATTCATGAAAAAATTCTAAGTACCATATTTCTACACACCTAAAAATTAAGGATAAAGAACACTCTTATAATTGATGTATTTAGGTGATTCAGGCATTATTTATAAAGAAAAAAAACAAAACAACACAGGGCCCGTGATCTGAATGATGCCGCTCCCAAGTGTGGCCTATATTCCCATTTAACTAGAAAGTACACATTACCAGGGCACTTCCTCCAGCTTTTCAACATTTCAATATTTTACTACGATTCCAATATAACCGAATACGTAGTATTGCAGTTTCATTACATTACTATGTACTCACAATAAATACTTACTAAACATTTGTTGAATTTGAGTAATTACATATTAAAAAGGGCGAAGGGAACCAGGTCCTCAAGTCTGGCTGACTCCCGCGCCTCTGGTGGCATCGGACCTTCCCTTCCCGGAGGCTCCCTGAGGAAAGCCTGCCACCTACCGCTCAGGACCGTGATGGTCTGTGGTTACTTCCTCCCTTGAGGTTCTCATTAACAGAGGAAGAATCAAGACTGGTCTAAATTTGGGTGGTAGCTTTGAGGCTAGCAGATCCTAGGGGGATCTGGGCCGGCATGGGTGGGGGCGGGGAGGGGGGGTGTTTTAGAGTAACTATTTTAATCAAAATAAACTCCTCAGGATTAGACAAAAGTCTTTAACCAGAAATCCCTCAAAATTAATTCCATTCACTCTGATCTCAAACTTTTAAAAAACTAAGTCTCTCGGTTCCACTTATCTCATTACATATACACTCATTTTCCTTTCCACATCAAATAATATTCATGTCCTAACCTTACAAACCTTAATCAGAATTTTTTATCTTGATTTTTAGAAAGAGAATTCTGACAGCTTTACAAAATTCAGTTATAAAATAGATCTCCTAAATTTTTCATAACTTCTGGTTTAATACCACAGCATGCTTTGATTTTCCCTGCAAGGGAGGTTCCTAAATATCTAAATTTAATTACTTGCTTACTTCCAGGAGCATCTACCTTGGTAAATTTTATTCCAAGAAAATGTAAATACAAATTCTTAAGAAATTTCTCTTTGGACTGACATTAAACAGAATTTACTTCATGAGGAATCAAGTATACAAAAAGAATATAGAATTCTTGTTGTAATAAAAGTAGGTTCTATGTTCGGCTTCCACCTGTCCAAGAGGGTTTAATATCTAAAAGTACTAGAAGAACAAACGCATACTGTATCACTTCTAAAGAATCAGATATTCTGGATGTTAACTTTTTTAAACCCAGACGTAAAAATAGGTTCAGCTAAGCTATAGTTTCTCCTATTTCATTCATTCCACATACTGCTACTGTATTTCTAATTTTAATTTGATAGAGTACCTACTAAACTATCATTCTAGAGCCAAATCAGCTGGTTGCATGTATACGTATTGCAGGATTCCTAACTACAAGCCATGCAAACTAAGTATCTGGTAATGCTCAAATTGTAAAATTTACTTTTTCATGACTCGAGGAGTATTTTATTTATAAATCAAGCCTTCCATGAAAGAATAGTCCATCAGGAGCGTATCAGAAATATAATCTTGCTATGTGATAAAAAGCCTCAACTTTTAAAGCACAGGGTTTCTAAATTATTAAGTTTTAATACTAAAATTCCTTTTGTTAAAACCAACATGAAATCATTTCCTTTAGGGAAATCTTTCTGACCAAAAGTAATTTCTAAACGAAGGAGGAAAAACTCAGAACAGAGGCATACTCATAGGTCATTAAAAGACAATCATAGTAAAAACAACTCACAAGAAAATTAATAAATGGAAAAAATGGCAAAATTTGAGTAAGTTCTATACTTTAATAGTATTGTTCCAAGATTAATTTCTTAGTTTTGATAACTGTATAGTTACATAAGATATTAATATAAGGGGAAGCTTGTAAAAGGTCATACAAGAACTCTCGGTGCTATTTTTGCAACTCTTCTATAAATTTAAAAGTATCTCATGATTAAAAAAATTGTAGAAAACAAAAAAACTAGTAACTTAAAAATAAATCACTTCAGCTGCCATATTTCTTGATATAATTCAAGACTTAAGTTTTAAAGACATCATTAGAAATCAATGTTTACTTAACATTATAATCACTTTATTGCTCTAGAAAATTAGTTCTTAAAACCATCAAATTACATATATAGTGATGAGGCGAGCCACACACCCATCCACCCACCTAATCAACTGTATTGCATGAGGCTGCTTTTCTAACTTAGTAGATAAATATTATACAAAAATACAAAAACAGTTGGTTACAGTTGAGCTATCAAGTAGATGTCACATTTCCAGAGATGGGAAAGTTGAACAAAAAGGAAACTGAGGTTACTGACAAGTATGAATGTATCTGAGAAATCCATTTACATGCAGACAGAAGAAAACTGATTACAAAAACTATTACTAAAAATTTTGCAGTGTTTTAAACATTCCTAATCATGCAACAGTAATAAAGATCAGAATGAATTTTATAAAGAAGTTGACGGCAGCTCAACAAACAGGATTTAACATATTATACAACTCCAATCACGGCTGCATAATACACCCAATACTCCCAAATTTACCTGTAAATTTACAAAATTAAAATGCACACTGTTCCCCCACAATTCCTCCTCCAGCCCCATTCCCAATCAGTTATCTTACCTATAAACCTTTCCATTTAACCTTTTAAAAATCAGATTGGATAGGTCACAGTATGTAATCTACAGGATAATCTTCATTATTATTTCAGAACAGACACCAAGCACAGGCATATGCTCAATCTTCAGTCACATTCCTTTCAAAAGACATCTGAACTGCTGCAACTGTCTATGAAAATTCAACCCTAAGAAACCGAGAAAATTGGCAGTCAAGAATCTGATCTAATTCTACTAACTATAGTAATACTAATAATCTATGTGTCCACATTTGTAGAAGGGTTTCCTATTTGAGAAAGGTTACTGAATGGCTCTCTGAAAGGAAAGCTGTAGAACTACCACGGCTTTCTGATGTAAAACAGTTGTGACCCCAGATATTTACCCATTTGGCTAACAAGCTTATAGCTCAGCCTTCTAAAAAATATTCAAAGCCACATTAAGTAGTTATGGAAATAAAATTTTGGAAGGTCATAGTGTAAGATGCATGCAGAATTCCTCTTATAATGGTATATCCAAAATAAATCCTAACAAAGCAGCACAAAATCAATTTAAGAACAATTTGAAATTAAATACAGTGGTAAAGGTTTCTTTTAAAATCATCAACCAAAATAACTGAATGGCAAAAGAATACTGTCTCAAAATATAATGCATTCATGTATGTTAATATTGCCATAATGAAATCATGCCAGATGTAAATTTAGAGTACCAATTAGGTTCAAAGAAATTTAAGAGCTACTTTTACAATAAGAGAAATAAATGTATTTCATGATAAAGGCACAGCAGCATTTAAAAAAATTCTGATACATTTATCACAAGATAGAAACTTCCTTAACCATTAACAACACAGCACAGTAAAATTTTCTTGGGAATTTTTAAAAGGCTTGGTTTAACATGCCAGGAAAATAATCATGTTTCCACTGAGATGCATTTATGTAAATTATGCAAATTGGATTGAGGTCAGTTTTACACCTGGAATTAACAACCCCCGAGCAGAAGTACCAACTGCTAAAAATGCTTATTTATACTATATATAACTTAGGTGGATGTTACACTACGCAACTGTTGGTGCCAGTCTGCTTATAAAAGCAATACTCTGGAGACAAAGTCTTCTCACAAACAGTGGGCAAGCCGGTTTCATTATTACATGTTCAACAACAATCCTCAGTTCATTAAACAAGGTCCTGCAAAATAAAATAGTTTTCTTTCAGACACAAAAGGAAAAAGAATACAAAGCAAATGCTGATAAAGGAATTCCCCATCGCCACTAGAGAATCTGAAGTAAAAGAAATAACTAGAATGCACCGTAGGAAACACACAAAAGAAAATTCTCAAAATCCGTATTTGTGTCTTTTGGGGGGTGAGGCCACAGCATCTGATCGATGATTATTTCCAAGGGCTGAGATAAGGGGTGATTTATACCTTCTTTACAGGAGAGTCACATCATTTTCACATTTAATTTTGGTAAATTCACTAGTTTTAAAAAAGAGCAAGAAAGTGAAATTCCATCCATTTTCCTTAAACTATCGCCTTAAACATACATAATGCCTCTCAGAGCTCTCGTCATCTATAAAAGAGGAAGATGGACTTCATGGAGTCACCCAGTAAGTTAAGTGAGACAGCAGAGAGGATAATCCGTAAGTGCTATTTCCCGATCAAGCCAGTTCCTGTTTATCTTCAGACTCAAGCCCGACTCCTAACATCTATGCCTTCTCTATGCCTTCTCTGGTCGTAATGGAACCTGCAGCTTCATCTCCTCCCCCACTCTCTGCCAGGACTCCCGAATCCCCAGTCATGCCGCACTTCTGTGCCCCAAACAGGCCGTTGACTTTAACTGTGCCTGCTGCCTCCAAAGGACTCCTTAGGACCCGCATCACACACCCGGTACAGGCTGGCAGACACAAAATCATGCATGTTGGCGAACTGTGATTTATAAGAGCTTTTGAAAGGTCATTCAGAGTAATTCTGATTATTCACTTTTGAGTTTTCACTTTATGTGCTGACTCATCCTGCATAAGACAATTCCTGCTCTACCTTTCTGTATCCTCTGTTATTTTGCTGGTTAGGAAAAAGAAAAGCTACAATTTTAAAAAAGGATGTGATATGCTTTCACACAAAGACAGGAAGGAAATCTGTAAAGATGCAACTTTATCCAACCACCTGCCCTTGTATCTACCTGTGGCAGACCACAACTCTCCTAAGTCCCAGGCCAGAAAGGGCTTCCTTATCTTGGTCTTCCTCCCTAAGCCCTAAGCTCTTACCTCCTGAATCTTTCAAATGTATCCCTTTTTATTTTACACAGAATTAGTTTAGGCTCTGGACTACTCTCACAGGCTCCAAAGTGGCCCCTCTTTCCCTCTTGCTGAGCCGGTGACACATCTTCTGGGATATTTCTACATCATATCTCATCACCTTCTCAACCCCTCCATGTTCTGAGCTTCAAATGCTCCTCCCTCCCATGAAATAAAATCTAAACCCTTTCTTGATCTCTCCCTGTCTTACCTTCCAGGCACAGAGCTTCATTACTTCCCTCTACACTTCCCTAACTCAAGCACCTTGCACTTTCAGGGGCCCCCGTGCCCAAACCTAGACTTTAGAAGGCCTGGCTTCTGGTACCACTTCCTGGGTGAGCTCCCCATCAGCTGCCTCCTTGATCTCTGTGCTCTCACGGGACGGTCACCAGCACACTGACTTACAGAGGGTCTAATTCACTCAGCTCTAAGGCTCTAGGAAGCAAGTACTTCAATCCTACATAAACTTATCACCAACACACAATCACGGTCTTCTGAATGACTCTAATGAATAAAACTAGATGGTACCATGAAAATACACTGGTCAAACCCCTCAGGTTACAGATGACAGATTACAAGTCAACGGCTTGCCTTAAGGTCATGCTGCTAGTTTTTTGTTTTTTTTTTTGAGATTTTATTTATTTATTCATGAGACAGAGAGAGGCAGAGACGCAGGCAGAGGGAGAAGCAGGCTCCCTCCGGGGAGCCCGATGTGGGACTTGATCCCAGGACCCCAGGATCACGCTGTGAGAAGGCAGACAGTTGCCCCGGGCATCCCCACGTGGCTAGTTCTTTCATTCCTGGCTCTACCCCTGGCATGATCTAGACCATGTCTCAGAGCTGCTCTGGAGCAGCAGTGACGACAGAACAGTCAGTGACGATGAAAATGTTTCTCTGTGCTTTCCAACAGTGATCACCAGCCACACGTGGCTTCTGAGTGTGTGAAACTGGCTAACGTGACTCAGGAATTGAGTTTTAAAGTATATGAATTTTAATTAATTTTTTTATTTAAATGGTCAACGCGGGGCACTTAGGTGGCTCAAGAGTTAAGCATCTTACTCTTGATCTAAGCTGAAGTCTTCGTCTCAGAGTCATGTATTCAAGCCCCAGTTGGGCTCCATGCTGGGCATGGGCTCCATCGGTTAAGCATCTACCTTCAGCTCATGTCATGATACCAAGGTCCCGCGATCAAAGTGGAAGCCCCTTGTCCCTGGCTTATGCTCAGCGGGGAGTCTGCTTCTCCCTCTCCCTCTGCTCCTCCCCCCTGCTTATATGTGCTCTCTCTTGCTCTGTCAAACAAACAAACAAACAAACAAACAAAAACCCCAAAAAACAAAATGTAGTTTTTATAGGCTGTTTATCAATATTTTTAAGTGCACATATTTCCCATTACCTTCCCTCTGTTTTGTTTTGTGTGCTTATGCAAGATCTCTGAAAATGCTTATTGGCACGTATTTGTGTTACCCAGATCTACTGCTATCCTTTCCTTTTTTATCCCACTGGACGCTTCTAAAATTTCTCTGATTTAAGGGCAAATGAGAAAATGGGGGTAGAGATTATAAGGGTATAAAACAGTAAAGAAAATCAAATCTGCTGATGAAAATGTGTATGAAGGCAGGGGCCCCAAAGATACTGTTTTCTGAAATGAATACATGTACCAGAATGAAAAAGGGCAAAAACTCACGGAATCAAGTAAAACTGAAGGTTTATTCCTGACTAGGGACTTATTCAGAGCCTATGTCTGATGGGGATCCCTGGGTGCCTTGGCAGTTGAGCATCTGCCTTTAGGCCAGGGCGTGACCCCGGGTCCTGGGATCCAGTCCCACACTGGGCTCCCTGTATGGAGCCTGCTTCTCCCTCTGCCTCTGCTTCTCCCTCTGCCTCTGCTTCTCTCTCTCTGCATCTCTCATGAATAAATAAATAAAATCTTAATAAAAAAAAAGAAAGAAAAAAGAAAAAGAAAGAAAACCTATGTCTGAACTAAGCTCTGTCTTAGGAAGTACTTTAAGACATTGTCTGTAACAGAGCATAAAAACCCCTCAAAACATGAATCAGAATTATAGAAAGAGGAAAATAAATTATGTATTAAAAACACAGCCGAATCTAAGCATTTTTCAAACATTACTTCATTTCACCTCCAGGAAGAGGTTTTCTCTTCCACCAGTGAAGAAATTAAAATTTAAATAACTTGCCTAAAGTTACACACCTGGCAAATGATGGACCAGGATTCAACTTCAGTTCTTTTACTTTTCTCATGAAAATAAGCATCATGCTAAAACACTTAATTTCTGACTGAGCTCTACTATACAATGAATTTTAAATTTGTAAACAAAAGCTACGTTAACATTAGCATCCCAGTAACATATCCAAGAAGCTGTTAAAAACCACTATTCGTTTCAGTTTCACTCTAACCTGTGAGATCAGCACGCAGAACTTACTGTCTCATGTAAGCCTCCATTCCTGAACATTACGGTAACGCATTCAAATATTTCTGCTTCCTCCAAACTACTCTGCACAAGTCTATTAGAAGAGTACGATCATGTCCAAGCCATGATTCCTATACATCTAAAAGATAAATGCCAAACTTCTGATCCAGAAATTCAAGAAGTTTTACAATTTGGCTCTAATACACCTTGTTAATCTCAGCTACACCCACTTAGCACTCAGGATCCCTGGTATCGCCACACAGGTCCATCCAATGTCCTTCAACATGGCTTGTTCCTTCTTGCCTTTGAACTTGTGTTCCTACTCTCTTCCTACCTAAAATGCTGTTACCTATCCTGTCTATTCAAAGGCTTTAATTTTCTTGAACAATTAAAATCTCTGCTTTGTGAAACTTTCACGGGCCCTTTTTATCTCCTGGCTCAAGGATCTCTCCTCCCTGTGGAGCACAGTATTGATAAGATACAGCAAACACAAGAGTGCATCATATATTGGTTTGTGAATGCTGTATCCTGAACTACCGTTTCCTTATTATCTGACATATGGTTTTGTTTCTTCAATTAGGAAAGTGCCTTGAGATTGGGACTGATGTCTTAGACATCTTTAAATCTCTTAAACTTGAATACTATTTTATTTGATTACTACTTTGGTGGAGATCAAGGTAGATCCGGTCTTAAGTTCTAAAAAGAAATACAACCACCTTCTCACTAACCCTACTAAGGCCTGGAAGTTAAATTTACAAAAAATATCTCTTGCTTAACTCTAACATAAAAGCTAAATAACTCTTAAAAGTTATACTCTATTTTACAATACTCTCAACAAATAAAACAGATTTAAATTAATCACCAGCTTACCGACAATATGGATTTCTTCGAGAGGAATATCGAAGAGTAAGAAATCTGTAGTATATAAAAGGCTGGAGCAAACTTCCTTGACCACTGAAATAAATAAAGGGTAAGAAATATACATTACCAATTCATATGTACACTCTCAAAACTGAAAGCAATTTAACTGAAGAATGTGTATGCTTTCATTCATTACATGGTCATGGTAGGGGTGCCTGGGAGCTCAATCAGTTAAGCATCAACTCTTGATCTTGGCTCAGGTCATGATCTCAGGATGAGACTGAACCCCGTGTCCAGCTCTGTGCTGGGCAAAGAGCCTGCTTAAGACTTTCTCTCTCCCTCTGCCCCTCCCCACTGGCTTGGTGCACGTGTAAGTGCTCTCTCTCTAAAAATAAACAAAATAAATGGTCATGGTAGTATCTATCATGTCTAAATCAAAGTTTATTTACTTAGAGCACAGGCGCAAGAGCACAAATGGGGGGGAGGGGGACAGATTCCCCATTGAGTGTGGACCCTGAGATCATGACCTGAGCCAAGATCAAGAGTTGGATATGTATCCAATTGAGCCACCAAGGCACCCCTAAATTAAAGTTATTCTTAAGAAGAAAGAAAGAGTGGCACCTGGCTGCCTCAGTTGGTAGAGTATGTGACTCTTGATCTTGGGGTTGTAAGTGTAAGCCCAAGTTAAGTATAGAGCTTACTTAAAAAGAAATAAAAGAATATACATATGATTGTTAAAGACTAAGATGTTATTGTTTAAATTTTTATAAACATCATATTGATGTATATATTAAGCTTAAAAGCTATTAAATAAATATATCAGAAAATGTATACAGATGCCTGGGTTGCTCAGTCAATTAAGCCTCTGACTTCAGCCCAGGTCATGATCTCAAGGTCCTGAGGTCCAGTCCTGCATCACACTCCTCACTCAGCCCAGAGTCTGACTGTCCTTGTCCCTTTCTCTCTCATTCTGCCCCCATCCCCACTCATGCTCTCTCTCAAATAAATAAAACCTTTCAAAAGATATATGATAAAGCAAACATAATAATGCATCATATATTGGTTTGGGAACACTGTACCCTGAATTAGTTTCCTTATCATTCGACACTTAGGAAAGTGCCTTGAGATTGGGACTGATGTCCCAAAAAAGAAAATGTATAAATGCTTCTATAATTACTACCAACAAATAATTGTTCATCAAGTTGTGAAACTTTATAACACAGTAAGTGAAAAGTGGTTCATTTTATATAAACAAAAAAAAACTAGTAAAATCACACAGGCTCCTTAGTAAATTTACACAGCTTATTCTACTATTTTGCTTGGTTAAAAAGCACTATTATAATACCCAAGAGCTATATACAAATTTATGAAATTCTAAGTCAAGAATTCTTTTCCTAGGAAAGACTATCTGGATTAAGACACTCACTACCAATAACTACAAAGTAAATGCATCAATATTTGGATAATTAGGTAGCAGGGTTGAGTATATTAGCTTTACTTGATGGAGTATGCAACTACCTAAAATCTTGATTATGAAAACTATACAGCAACTTTGAAAAATGCAGAATATAGAACTATACATATTATTATATTTTAAACCTTTTGAGGAAGTACATTAAAGATGTTAATGTGGTTTTAAAGTTAATTTTCACCTTTTCTTCTAAATTGTGATATTACTTTCATAATAAAAATTTACGTAATTATAAACTAATCACTAAACATTACATCCACTTCCCCCAGAAATTCCTGTGACAAATCTTTAACTCTTCAAATGGAAAAATATACATACTATAGAAAATATAGAAAATAATATACAATAAAAAACAAAATTTCCATCCTCCAAGTTAGCTCCTTCCTCAGAGTTCCAGCTTAGTCGCTAATATATCCTTCCAGAAATTCACATGCACAAGTGTATATGACTAACCCTAATACGGTGTTTACTTTATGATTCGCTAAATCCACTTAAACAATTCTAAGCGGGAACTGGCATTATCACTCTCATTTCAAAAATGAAGAAACTGAAGCAGAAAAAAAACCCACATGCTCTTAAATACACAAACATACCCCAAGATATAAAAGGGGAATGCTCTACACAGTTCTTAAAAATTTTTAAATGTATTATACCTTAAAGATTATCTCCATCACAACACATAAATTTACCTCATTCTTTTTTACAGCTTCAAGCAGTTCATCTTATGCATTACTATTATGTAACAAGTGCTCTACTAATAAAGCTACAAAGACCTCATCCTTTTATGTTTTTTTACACTCATGTTCATGTATATGTAAGATAATCTCACAGACTTTACCTCATTTTTAAATACAAAGCTTGAAGCATTACTGTGAAAAACATAACTTAATGAAGCCTTCTAATATTAGATTGTTCTTCTATCATAAAGGGAGCAACTAAGGAATAATGATTTTAAGTTATTTTAATTTTATAGTTTGTGTTATATGCGAGTGACATCAAAGCATCAATAGCTTTAGGGACTGAATAAGACATTATAATCTTACTTTTTAGAATAACAAAGTGATTTCTCTATTTAAATATTTCTGGTAAATTCTCATCTCTTTTACAATAATCTTGAAAATTAAAATCAAGTTATTTTAAAGTTTAACTTCTTTAAATGTGATATCAATGCTCAAGAGTCTAAGTCAATGATTACATCAACTAGAATCCAGGTCCCTAACACCCAACAAGAAGTCTTTTCACTGTGTCATTCTGGAGCACATGTGGTGATCCTGGAGTTTCCAGAGAAAAACATTACTTAAAAGAATGGAACAAGTAACTGTTATTTATGAGGAAATCTGTAAAACTCAGTTACCAGCTTACAGCCTGCTAAAGAAAAAAATGAGACATGCTAAAATCTCACTAATTAAGGCAATGCACATTAAAATGAAATATTTCATAAACAAAAATAAGTTTTTATAAATTAATGAGCTTATGGAAAATAGATAATACAGACGTCTCAGAGGACAATGTGCCATGGTCCATTATATATACAGTGCACTTAGCTTAAACTCAGCAAAATCAATTCTGGTTTAAAGTAAACAGAGGCCCAAAGTATAGGCAGAAAGGTAAAAAGAGGGGCACGTGGCTGGTTCAGTTGGAGCATGCAACTCTTGATCTCAGGGTCCTGAGTTTGAGCTCCACACTGAGGGTAGAAATTACTATTTTTTTTTTTAAAGATTTTATTTATTCATGGAGACAGAGAGAGAGAGAGAGAGAGAGAGAGAGAGAGAGAGAGAGAGGCAGAGACACATGCAGAGCCTGACGTGGGACCCGATCCAGGGTCTCCAGGATCACGCTAAACTGCTGCACCACCAGGGCTGCCCAAGGGTAGAAATTACTTAAAAGGTAAAAAGATGTTTACTCCATCAATATTTGGAAAAGCAAAAATTTGGAAACAAATGTTTCCCCATTAACAAGGGAATAGGTAGTGAAATGCAGCCTATTTATATGACTGAACACTACACAGTCATTAAATGGAAGAAAACAGAGTTGTTATCTATCAACATTTATAAATAGGTCATGAAAACATACTAACTTATTTCATATTAACTGAAAAAAAGCAAGATGCAGGTAACTGATCCATTAGGACACTTCTGATGCAAAATAAAAAAATGAAAGAAACCAAACCCCACACCATAGTAGTATGTATTTTCTACATATCTATGTAAGTATTTTTATTTTATTTTTTTATTTTTTAAAGATTTTATTTATTTATTCATAGAGACAGAGAGAGAGAGGCAGAGACACAGGCAGAGGGAGAAGCAGGCATCATACAGAGAGCCTGACGCGGGACTCGATCCAGGGTCTCCAGGATCACGCCCTGAGCTGCAGGCGGCACTAAACTGCTGTGCCACCGGGGCTGCCCTATAGAAGTATTTTTAAAGTACTACATGCATGTACACATAAGGAGGAGGAGAGGACAGAACTGCAACAATGGTTCATGGTAAAATAATATTTGGCTTTTATCTATAATGTCCTCTTATTGGAAAAATTTAAAAAGCTATAATCCAGGCAGAAATGTAGCTCTATTTTTTTTCCTGCTAATTTGATTTTTTTTTCCCCAATTGGCTTTTAAGCAGTAATTTTTTTTCCCACAACAAAGAAGATAAACACATTAATAGAGACAGAGAAGAACTTCTGAATTGGTAACCAAAGCTTATACCATTTAAACTGCTCCTCCCCTTTCCTTTTTTTTTTTTTTAAAGTTTAATTTTAATCACCCGGTGCTCATCACAAGTGTACTCCTCAATTCCTATCATCTATTTCACCCATCTCTCTAGAAATGTAGTTTTAAAACTTAAACGCAAGAATTTTGATGGGGAGGGTCAATACTAGCCTGATCTAATTTTTACATTACTTCTATGACTAAGATACAAACAAACATGGAGGTGTTGGTAGGCGACTATTAATACCAGACCATAATTTTTCTAGGAAAAAAAAAAATCATCTAAATAATGGCAGAATGCACTAACCTAGGCTTCTCAAGATTCAAAGGCAGCAGTTCTAAAATTAATTTTCAAAATGTTAAATGGTAAATCACAAGGAATGATAAATAAGACAAGCTCCTAGGTTTACCATAACGTCTCACATTCATCACAATAAATTGAAAAAATGGTGGCTAAGATCAATCTAGCTCTGCACATCAGTATCTAACAGATTTATGCAGGATAAAATTTGAGTTAATACATTTATTATGTTCATTTAGTCATCTGCCTCTCAAAACAAATATATTTTTATTCTTACCTAAAAAGCATAAAAACTGTAGCAGGCATCAAGAATATTTCATTACAAGCAATGAATTTCAGGATATTCTGTTGATTAGCACTTAATTTATCCAAGATAGATCTCAGCAGAGGTAAACTATTTGAACCCTTTGCCTGAAACATAAGAAAATAAATATTAGAAAGAATGAAGCATTTTTGATTACTCCATAATTTTTTTTAGATAAATAGCATACCCAACAGGTATGCAACTAAAAGACGATTATTTTAGAAATGGTAATATAAAAGTTTACAAAATAACGTAAAAGTATATTTTCCTGCTTTGATTTTGTGTATTTGAAAAATAAAAACACTATAGATGTGTGTTTTCACACACAAAAAAATGGAGGTTATTTCTATCTAACTATAAACAAAATCAGACTACCTAGTAATAAGGTATTTGTGAATCCTTAGCTAAATACAAAATAGAAATTAAAGTCCAATTACCACTGTGACCAAAGAACTATGGAGATAAAGAAAAAGGGCAACACAAAGCAAACATTTGGGTATTTTAATTTAAATGTCAGTGCATATGCAGTCAATCCACCTGGGACACTTAGGCTTAATGTTTAATCCAGGAATAAGAAAATATTTTAGGAAAGTAGCAGTTCTGAACATTAAATGTAAAAGAAATTCAGTACACTCTACTTACCTGGTTCTTAAAATTAAACAATGACAGTACAAGAGATCTATGACAACTTACCAAATAGAAAAGATATGATTTAAAAAAAAATCTATTTCAAACTTGAGAAATTCTCTGGGAACTGAGAGGTATTCTACAACACAATACTTTTAAAATGTATTTTGCAGGGAATGAAGGAAACTTTTGTGACAAATGCCAAAATGCCTTAGAACTCAAATTCATGCCAACAGGAGTCAAAAAAACAGCTTTACTTACATCAAGGACCTTTTTCGTGTATGTGGCAGCATGAAGCAAAGAGAACAACAAGACTGGAAAAATACTCACTGAAGAAAACAATTAAGGAAAATATCCAACATGTATCAAATATTTTGTAAAACAGGCTTTGTATTATGTCCCATATAGAGCTGAACCAGCATCTGCTAAAAAGACTTGTTTCACTTTGTTAACCATATGAAGTTTTTTTCCTACCTGTAAACAATTTCATTTTCTAAAGCTCATAATTTATTAAGAAAATTAATAGTGAAAAGTTTTTTTCTATTAGATAATGAAATATTAATAAACATCTGCTATATCTAATCAAAATCTAGAGCACCTAGAAGAAACCTTAAATATTTATTACGGCTTTTAACCCCACAATGGCCATCCTGGCCAGAATAATTTGGCCTTCAAATATAAAGACAGTCTCTTATACTACTTTCCTCATCACAATTGCTTAGGAAAGAGTCTGGGGTAATGGTTTAAAAAGTACTTCTTCAGGGGCGCCCCGGCTGGCTCAGTCAGTAGAGCATGGGACTCCATCTCATCAGGGTTGTACTTGATCTCCGGGGTGGTACGTTCAAGCCCCACATTGCAAGTAGAGTTTACATAAAAAAAAAAAAAAAAAAAAAAAAAAATCCTTTAAAAAGTACTTCTCCAATTTTCCTCAACTAAAGATCTTTCATTATTTCTTTCCCACAAGATCCTCATTATCTCAAGACACTGTACCTATTGAGCTTATACAGTTCATAAATTCTCAATCTCAAGTAAAAAGTGTGTATTTGGGTTTGTAGACACTTAACTGAGTCTCATCAGTTTAATTAGACATGTAGTTGAGTTCAACTGTTTGGCTTTATGTCATAGATAAATATGCGATTTTCATTCAGCTTTTTGAAAAATGGAATGTTCCAAAGACCCTATTTATTCCAATTTCTGCCAGGTTGATAACAAGAACAACAACAAAACTTGTCAAATAACTTTCATAAAATGATCTAGACTGTTAGTCCACTTTGAATGGCAAAAACACATGCCCTAAAAGTATCTGCAGATTCTGGGGTGCCTGGTTGGCTCAATCACTAAAGTATGGGACCTGATCTCAAGGTCATGAGTTCAAGTCCCATGTTGGGTGTAAAGTTTACTTAGAAAAAATAATCAAAAAAATTTTTAAATTGCCCTCATTTAAAAAATATTTATCTGCAGTTTTTAAGAAACGAACCATTATCTTTTTCTAACAAAAAAGCTTTCACTAACTGAAAGCTTTGCTGTGGTGGGAAATGGTGATTAGAATGCACTAGGAATTCCAAATTCATTACCACGTAATTCATTAAGATCCAAAAGTGCCCGATTTCCAAATGGCAACCAAGACACTGACCTATACCCAAGGATTAGAATTTTCCTAATTAGTATCCTGACCAATTCTTCCCTGACACTTACAAGAACTAAGTAAAATGCCAACTTCCTCAGTAGAGACCATGTATAGCTTAATAGATCCCTTTGGAACAGATGAAAGCTGCCAGCCTCTCCTCTCCAAGGCCACTGTAAAATTCTGTTGTTTCTTCAATAGTTAAACTCAAACTCCACAACATATCTTAATTTGAAGCCTATTCAGTAAAGCAATGCAGGTAATGAAAACAACCCTGAATGGACAGTCAAGATACCTGGGTTCCAATCATGGCTGACACTAACTTCACTTGCTAGACCACTTTCATCAAAGCTAGATTTTCCTCCCTCTCCCCTGCTCACTTCCTCCGCCCACAATCAAATAAATATTAAAAAAAAAAAAAAAAAAAAAGGGAGGGGAGGTGTCAGGGTGTCTGAGTGGATTAAGTGTCCAACTCTTGATTTAAGCTCAGGGCATGATTTCTGGTCCAGCTGGGTTATAGGATGGAACCTGCCTCCATGCTCAGCAGGGAGTCCAGTGGAGATTCTCTCCCTCTTCCCGTCCCCCTCAACTCATGCTCTTTCTAAAATATTTAAAATTTAAAAAGCTAGTTTTCTAATGAGTGTTTTACCTCTAGCATTCTATAGTTCACAAATCCTTGATAAGAGATTCATAACTTAGCTTTCAATGTCACTTTTAAACTATTTAGAAAATAGAAAGGGTGAAAAGTCTACAAGTTAAACTCTAAGTACCTATCCCTGTTAGAGCAAGGACAGTATCACCTTTGTAAGACCAAAGAACAGAACACAACTTTGTAACATGACCCTGGGATCACCTTCATTGACTAACAATACTCAAGTGCTTTAAGAATCAGACTAGTATTTCCTATCAGTTACTAGTTTAGACTATTTCTACTACTACTACTCCCCAACCTCCACCCCTAACATTAAGAATTTAAGGAACAGGAAATCCTTAATCTTCAACATTCCCATAGAGAGTGGCTAGCAAATAACCAATTGCACAGAACAGGAGAGAGGCCGTCTTAACTGGTCATGAGCTTCCTTTAGCATCCACTCAGGATTCACTCAACAAAACTCACTGACCACCTGCCATGTGGACTGCTTCGTCGTGGTACAGACAGAAATACCTCAAAACTATACCTAAGTGTTACTCATACATTAACCGTAGATTAGGTAAACCTGTTAGACCAGACAGACCTTATCAGCTTTACTATGTACTTGCCAATGTGGCATCAGGCCAAGTTATTTGAAACTCTTAGAGCCTCAGTGTCCTCATCGAATATGCTGCCTGGGGCTCCTCTCCTGGGTGCTTCAATCCGGTAACACTTGGCCTCAGCCTTCACGCAGGTCAAGGTCTCAAAGTCCTGGGACCCTGCTCCTTGGGAAGTTGGCTTCTCCCTCACCCCACCCCTACTCACACGCTTGCACTCTGGCAAATAAATAAAATCTAAAAAAAATTTTTGACTTTTTTCAGTGTTGCGAGGATTAAGTACGTCAGGTTTGTAAATGCTGACAAAATAAGTACTCAAAAAATTTCAGTTACCTATTCTCTTTTCCTTAAGACCTTTAAAAAACCTATTTAAAATTTGATATTTCACAGAGAAAAGTATTATTTAAATAGGTAATATTTAGCCCTAGAGACACATTTCACTGTGTTTTCCATTAGCTGTAGTTATGTATACACCCGTATTGTTTAGGAGTAGATCAGATGTATCAGACATAGTCAAGAATCCTTAAGAGCAGCACTTAAAGCACAAAACACTTTCCTGTGGGACACAGGGACCACAGGGGGACAGTAGTATTAAAATGATCAAGAAACTCTGGTCACTCTTTTGCCTCACAATGCACATTAGCACATCAAAGTCCTACAGTAAAGAAATCCAAACTGTTTAATCTAGTGCTTCCCAAACAAAATAAACTGCGACTTTCCTCCCCAACCCTCCCCACCTTTTAAGAAAACCTGTTATGGCCCAACACACTTTTGAAATGAGATTCCAAATGTGTTAATTTTCATTAGCTCCAAAGATTATCCATTTTCTACTCTATCCACAGTAAATACCAGTATTTTTATTATATTTATTAATTATCGCATTTTCTGCTTAAATAAGTTGTTCTTTGATGAATTTCCATTTGTTTCTAGCTCACTAGGAATTGAAAGAGCTGAGGATTTTTTTTTAAGCAAGACATATGGACAATTTCCCAAAGATATGAATTAAATATTAAAATAAGTCTTCCATAATCTTGTGCTTTGAATCCAAAGTTTAAAATATCCATTGCTAATAGAGAAGCTTACAAGAGGGAAGAACAAAGATACAAAATTTAAAATTCCCACATCAGCTCTTCAAATTTAGATTTCACATCTTAGAGTCAGAAATTCTTACACTAAATCTATCTTCATTTAAATCAAGTGTCAACCACCCAGCCAACCCAGGCTTCACGGAAACCCTCCTTGCTGAACCCTTCCTATTGCAAAGAAATAACAAAAGATTCCCTGTACACTTGATAGGCAACCTCTCTGTCAAAAAGGCACAAAAAAAGGATACTTGTAACAGGGTAGGAATTGACAAAAATGAGTGAGTACAGCAGGTAGTGGCAGCTGTCTTCTAATAGAGCCTGGGCCAGGAATGCTCTGCTTAACTGGAAATGTGGTAATCTTTGGTGCAGCCTCAGAGCACTGGTAAGAGCATTTGCCAGTAAAGCACGTTGGTAAAAGCTTGCAGCTTCATGCAACCTGCAAATTACCAGAGGAGAGGTTATCCTGAGACCTGACAACTATCATGTCTCTTCCTCCTTTGTGGATTGCATCATAATTGCACAACACCCAAATCTCTTGTCAGTAGAAAAAAATTATTTGAACCTATTATACCTTCTTAGAGGTATCACGTCATATACATACCCGACTAAATTTTATAAAGCAATCATCTTCCTTTTAAAGCAGTCATCTTACTATTAAGTCAAAAAATCAAAAATGAAAAAAATAGGAACTCTCATCCCTACACATCCACTTTCTTTCTGATTTTCAACATGGTGTCAGCTTTTACAAAGCACACAACATAAGATATTCCTCCAGTTGATACTATTAGTGGGTTATTAGCACTTAAAGGAGGAGACCTGCGTTTCATCTGTTCCAGAACCTTTTGCAGTTTAACGAGTCTTGCACATAAAAGGCAGTCCATAAACACCAAACAACTGAGTATCAAAGGCAGAATATCCGTGTAATACATACCCGAGAAGAGGCAGGACAAACAAAGCAGAACAGTAAACTGTGAACAAGCGAGAAAGCCACATTGCTGTGTCCAGCTTATTGGTCATCATGAATTGCTAAATTTAAAAAGAAAAATATGGTGGTAAACTAAGCCAGCAAATTATCTTCCCAAGGATGAAGATAACATAGTCTTCTTCATATTCAAAATGTTTTAACAACCCTGCAGCGATTATTTAAGACCATTAAATGAGAACTCCTAAGGCAATTGTTTCGACTATACACTCAGTAACACCTCCAAAAACCTTATGGCATTGATGCAGAAAGCAGTGGAAGTACTTAAATAGAAAAATATTAGCTGATATTTTAAAAAATAAAGATTAAAAAAGAAACCCGTGAACAGAGATTAACTACAATTGTCTCTATTCCTCCAGCACTGATAATACTGGCTTCACTTATTTTAAAAGAACTTTAAATAAGAACTAATTGCTCTCAAGAGAACCATAATGCCTATTCTTAGAAATCTCAAATTCAAATAGGTAAGTTTCAGATCTGAGTAAAAAGCCAGTTTGGATTAAATAAACCTTACAAAGGAAAAATGTAAAACATGGTAATAATCATTCACTACCCAACTCATTAATATATGGAGAATTTGCTTATGTACATATGACGGCCTGACATACTCCTAAGTGTTCAAAATATGACTGTCAAATATTAAGTAGTACCTGCCTCTTCAATTTTATGACTTCTTCATCCCCTTGGAAGCTGCCCCACATATCTTACCCTGAATATTTCAGTGGCCCTAAATTAAACTCCCTTATACAACTTTATTCTCCATGTTTTCTATCTTTATCTTTGCCCCTGCTATGTTTGTCAAAGATGGATCCATTATCATCAACAGAATCACTTAAAATCTGTTTTCCCATTCAAAATGTGTCTTCTAAGTGGCTTTTACATTTTTTGATAGAAGCTATATTAATAATTTTTACATCAACATCTAATACAGATATACATAAATAAATAAACTTCTATAAAGAAATTTCACAAAAAATGATACTTAACTTTCCTATGTAATGGATTTTGGTATTTTGTATTCTAATGTTTTAGAAAGACTTAGTGTTTTCACTAAATGGATTTCAAAACTCACTAGTGAATCGTAACATGAAGCCTAAAACATTAAGCAGTCTAACTTAATTATCTTTCGAAAAATATAAAAACCTTTTGGGAAAAAAAGCAAGTACATTTTAAAATCAAAAGATGTTTCGCTGCATGTCTTTTCAACAATATGCAAGTAATTATTCTATCCAAACCTACTACATTGTGACTCCTTTAAATTTAAATGATCACCCTAGTCAAGGGGAAGAATGAATCTAGCTTCCTGTACTCAGGTTCTCCACAAATACTCAGATTTTACATCATGGTCTGAAATCTAATTTTAAAACATGTTCTTTATTTTATTTTTTAAAGATTTTATTTATTTATTCATGAGAGACACAGAGAGAGAGAGGGGCAGAGACACAGGCAGAGGGAGAAACAGGCTCCATGCAGGGAGCCTCCATCCTGGGTCTCCAGGATCAGGCCCTGGGCTGAAGGTGGCACTAAACCGCTGAGCGACCGGCTGCCCCAAAACACGGTCTTTAAAATCGATTAGCTTAAGTACACCAGGCTGGCTCAGGCAGTGGGACACGTGACTCTTGTTCTTGGGGTCATGGGTTCAAGCCCTACGTTGGGTATAGAGATTGCTTAAAAATAAAAATCTTTTTCGGGATTCTTGGGTGGTACACTCGGTTAAGCCTCCAACCCTTAGTCTTGGCTCAAGTCTTGACCTCAGGGAGATGAGCTCAAGCATGAGTTGGGCTCCGACTTCAGCGCAGAAGTCGGCGCTGGTTAAGTCTCCCTCTTCTTCTGCCCTTCGCCACAGTACGCGTGCGTGCTCCCACTCTCTCTCTAAAGTAAATCAATCTTTAAAAAAAATAAACAAAATAAAATCTTTTTAAAAAATAAAATGAAATCCATTTGTTTAGGGTGCTTCTTTTGTAATACCGTGGATCATTGATTTATTCATTTCATTTTGCACTTTGTGTATCTGCATTTCAATACATAATAGAAAAGGTTTAAAAAGTTTATTGGTTTACACTTTTAAGAGTCAACAGCCCAGTCATGTTATAAATAGTATGGGCAAAAAAAAAATCACTGAAATTTTGGGTGAAAACCTACCCAGGTGAAAAGCTATTCAGTCTCAAAGTATCATGCCAGAGAATACTTTTTAATCACAAAATAAAAATGGTGTGTTTACAATAGTCTGGTAGATGCCACTTAAACCAAATTGTCAAACTTATCTGCGATGATAAGATAAATCAACATAAAATGCTTCCTCATATATCACACACTGAAAATGATAGAATAGCATTTATGTACTATTCCTGCCAAAATGCTTGACTTGAATCTAGCTAGTCACAGGGGAAAAAGCAGGCAAGTTCAATTTGAAAAACAAAGCAAGTTTGAACTCCTGACAGTCAAAATTGCATGAGGAGGGCAGCCCTGGTGTCTCAGCGGTTGAGCATCTGCCTTCAGCCCAGGCTGTGACCCTGGGGTTCTGGGATCGAGTCCCGTGTCGGGCTCCCTGCATGGAGCCTGCTTCTCCCTCTGCCTGTGTCTCTGCCTCCCTCTCTCTCTCTCTCTCTCTGTGAGTGTCTCTCATGAATAAATAAATATATAGATAAATAAAATCTTTAAAGATAATAAATAAATAAATAAATAAATAAATAAATAAATAAATAAATAAATAAAAAGTAAGCTGCTCAATTCACATATTCACAGTGTTTAAAAATCGGAGAGCAGTGACGCTTTGGGTACGAATTAATTAGCAGGCAGGTCTGCGTGTTACGCACAAAGTATATTCACGGAAGCCCAGCATCCCTCTTCGTAGGGACAGAAGGACAAAGTGACAAAGGGGGGGGGGGGGCGAGGATCTTAAAAAAAAAAAAAAGACCGCTCCCGCCACTCCACGTAGCCCCGCCCCTCGCCCCGCCCCCATCATAGCCCCGCCCCCGCGCAGTTAGCATCCCGCGGCCGGAAGCGGCCGAGCCGGCGTGACGGCGCCCGGCGGAGAGGGCCCCGCAGCGAGGCCCGGGAGCGCCCCCCACGCACCCCGACCCGACCCGACCCGACCCCGAGCGCTCACTCACCACCGCGCCCGCCCCCTGGGGGCCGTTCGGGGCCGCATCCGCCATGGGAGGCCCACAGCCGAGTCCGGGACCCTGCAAGCGGGGAGGGAGGAGAGGGGTTCAGCGCGGGGCCGCGCCCCCGGGGCACCTGCCCGCCGCGCCCGCCGCGCCCCCGAGCCGCAACGGAACAGTCGCGCCCGCCCCCGCGGAGCGCCCCGAGCTGCCGGGGAATACCTGCACCGCAGCACCGAGCGCCAGCCGGGCTTCTAGAAACACCGGCGAGAGGCGGAGCTTCGGAGCAAGACCCGACACGGCCGGTCAGACGCCGCCGGCCCGCGGTACTGCCCGACCCGGAAGTGCTCCTTTCACTTCCGCGGCGGAAGAGGCGGTGACCGAGGCCGGAAGCGGACAGCGGCGCCTTGAGGCATGACGGGAAATGTAGTTTTCCTCCCTTCAGTTTCACCTGTCCTGCCCTGCGATTGGCTGTGCAAGTGTGGAAGGTGAGCAGGCCCGCAAAGCAACCTTTGCCCGCGGCTCAGGCTGCCAGGTGCTCCTTCCTCCCTGCCCCCTGCCAATGTCCAAGCTGCAGGGTGTCTGCTCCTTAATGTGGAATACTCACATTTCTTTCTTTGCCTTTTCCTCCAGGGCTCACTGGTGCAAGGTTCTACCTATAAATTTAATTCTTCCCACAAGCACTTAATGACACCTGCTATGGGACAGGCCCCATGTTCGGCTTGGAGGATTTAAAAAAGAAAGAAAAGAAAAGAAAAGAAAAGAAAAGAAAAGAAAAGAAAAGAAAAGAAAAGAAAAGAAAAGAAAAGAAAAATGTGATGAATATGGAGCACCTGGGTGGGGCTCAGTGGTTGAGCATCTGCATTTGGCTCAGGGCCTGATCCCCCAGGATCCTGCCATCAGTCCCCTCGCAGAGAGTGAATTTAAAAAAAAAAAAGAAAGAAAGGAAGAAAAAAAAAAGAATATATGCAGATTGTGGGAAAGACAGGTAAGTAAACCAATATCACAGCACAGAGCTTGTGCAATATGGGCAGAGTCCAAGTTAATCGCAGAGAGCACAGAGGAGGGGACCCAAGTCAGAAAGAGTTTGGGAAGGTTTCCTGGAAAAGGTAACTCTGGACCTAAATTTTAAAGGACAAGGAGAAGTTGGATAAATAAATGGTGGGGGGAGGGGGGAGGTCGGGATAGAGCAACAGAAAGTTCATGAAGCAACAGGGCAGAGTCAAGGAACTAGCTGAGTGTGACTAGGATGTATGTGTTGGGGGGTAGGGGTGCGGCTAGGAGAAGTGGATTGTAAAAGATGTGGGATAAAGTAGCAAGTTAGAAGGATTAAGGAGAAGATCTGAACTTGACCTTGAAATCCAGGGAATCAGAATACAATTTTAAGCAGAAATGGATTTAGAACAATCAGCCTGGCAGTAGGTTAGAGGATGATCAGAGGAACAACCTAAAATTCAGGGGGTTACGTGGGATATTTTACATATATCTATATCAATATCTATATCTATATATAGAAGAAACGTCCAACCTCCATGGCAATCCTGGTGTAGTCAGTCATGGCGGCAAGTCGAATGGCGCCCTCTTGAAACCATGTAAACTTCAGTTTTTTTTTTCTTGTTTTTTTTTTTTAAGATTGTATTTATTTATTCATGAGAGACACAGAGAGAGAGAAGCAGAGACACAGGCAGGTGCTAAACCGCCCAGCCACCCTGGGATCCCCAACTTCTGTTTTTCTAAGGTCACTACCCAAGGTCAGGTCCTCATGATCTATCACCTGGATTATCTAAAATAATAATAATAATCCACCTCCACTGCACTCCTCACATATCATTTACTCCATATTTTTATAGCACTTATCATCTCTTAACACTTCTTACAACTTGTGTGCCTATCAGCAGTGTGTGTGTCTGACCTTGAACTGCTATGCCAAAATATCATAGGTTGGGTGGCTGAAACAACAGAAATTTATTTCCCACAGTTCTGAAGGCTGGAAAGCCCAAGACCAAGGTGCTGGCACATAGGGGAGAAAGAAGGGAGAGAGCTCTCTCTTCCCTTTTCTAATAAGGCTATGTCATTTCAATGGTAGGGTCTCACCCTTATACCTCATTTATACCTAATTACCTTCTAAAGATGTTATCTCCAAAAATATTCATATTGAGGGTTAGGGATTCAACATATAAATTTTAGAAGGACACAATCCAGTCCATTGCAATATATACATATGTGTAGTACTGATTTATAACAGTCCTTTTATGGGACGCCTGACTGGCTCAGCCAGTCGAACATGTGACTCTCAATCTCTGGGTCATGAGTTCCAGCCTGAAGCATACTTAAAAAAAAAAAATGCTCTTATTACAAAAATACTAACCTATAAAACGTCTTCTTTTAAAGTCCATATAACCAGTTGGTTCACACAACACACTTTTGTTGATTTTTACTGAACTTTTGTAACCAAAGAAACATATTGTTACTATTGCTAAACCAGCATAATTCCATGAATGTTGTTTGATATTTCTGTTAAGCAATAAAACAAAAGTGAAACAACATGAAACAACAAAGACATATAGTGAAACTTCATTCTTTCAACAATGATGTGAGCAACTTCTTTTCTGAATTGAGTAATGATTTTTGAATACTGGACAAATATCTACTCAGTTTTTTAATGCTACTCACAATGTTAACAGCTACAGACATAACACACTTTTAGGTTTAATCTGCATCAACGTTCTCCCCATAATTTTAAGTCTAGACAATCAACAAAATAATAAATTGAGCCTTGATTGGCAATGCTTGCTGGTGTTGCCATGTTGTAAATTCCCCTACCGTGACCTATTTCAAACCATCAACATGGACTCACTGAATGTGAAATTGGGAAGAGATGTGCATAACACAACATTAAATAATATTTCCATCATGCAGATACAATAGACATAACCCCAAGGGTATAAATAATGATAAAATGTAGTAAAAATAATTAAGAATTAGTGAGTTCTAAATGTTTATTATCTTTTTTTTTTTTAAAGTAATCTCTATGCCTAGCATGGAGCTTGAACTCAGGGCCCTGAGATCAAGGGTTGTATGCTCTACCAACTGAGCCAGCCACGTGCCCCTATTATCTATTTTTAGTATAACTCATTGTAAATTTATACCCTTTAACTTTTAATAATGGCTGTGCTTAACAACCAGCTCACAAAATTCTAAAAAATTTAACAATCAGCTCTTGCAAGCCAATATGAGCTGGCTCCAGCAAATTAACTGCATGCCTACTCAAATGTCTGTTCAGTCTCACTGCCCAGTAACACTATCACCAATCTCTCCTTTTTCCAACAGAAAAATCCCTCATTGAAATGCCTAAATATATTCCTATTCTATTAGAGAATTTATTTAATATTTTATTTTAATTCAATTACTTTACATTTTCAAAGTTCTTAAGTTTCAAGGAAGCAAACATGAGAAACTTAACAATGGGGGATAGAAGAATGGGGAGGACTTTTGGTTGATAGCTACTTTTTTAAATATATGTTATATTATATTATATTATATTATATTATATATATATAGAAGTTCGATTTGATAGCCTTTTTTTTTTTAAGATTTCATTTTTAAGTAATCTCTACACCTAACATGGGGCTCGAACTCAGAACCCAGAGATCAAGAGTCTCATGCTCTACTGACTGAGCCAGCCAGGCATCCCCATAGTCTTAGAAATATTCTTAATTAAAATATAATATACAACTGTTCATTTTAAAAATAAATACATTAATAACTGGTCAGGACATAATACCAATAATAAAAAGACTCATCACTGGATGCTAAACCCATGGGGTGAAATGTTGATGGGGAACATAGTTCCAAAGTATTACTCTAGATATTTTTTTTTAACTAATTACAAAAGGAAAGATGAATCTTTTCCAAGGAGCCACATGAAGTTAAAACCTAAACCAGGAGATCAACTTCAGTATCACAGATATAGGGGATTATCTTTACAGAGTCTCTTGATGTGACCCAAAACCATATTCACAACGTTCCCTATAAGAAATTTTTGGCGGAATATTTATTTTTTATTTTTTATTTTTATTTTTATTTATTTTTTGCGGAATATTTACTCTGAATTTAATCAAGCCCTTCTAGACCTACCTATCAATTTATATTTAGAGAAAATTTAAGGAGACAAAGTAAAATAACACATAAGACAAGAATAAAAATGTGAGATCTTCTACAAAATACCTGGTCTGGACTCTTCAAAAAGTGAGTATCACTATAAAACGTGGGAGAGCTTTTTCAAATTAGAATGTATAAAGTCAAAACAACTAAGTGCATAGTTTGTTTAGAGTCTCAATTGGGAAAGTGTAAGAAAAGAAATTTGAGGGCCATTTCAGACATTTGATTATGAGATGGGTATTAGATAACATTACATGGTTATTGTTAGTTTTTTGAGGCATGTGGGATTTAGAAGTCAAGGTCCAGGGTGTCTGCAATTTAGTCAAAAGTTTTAGTAAAGGGCAGCCCGGGGGGGGCTCAGCGGCTTAGCGCCCGCCCTCGGCCCAGGGCATGACCCCGGAGTCCCGGGATCGAGTCCCATGTCGGGCTCCCTGCATGGAGCCTGCTTCTTTCTCTGCCTGTGGCTCTGCCTCTCTCTCTGCATTTCTCATGAGTAAATAAATAAATAAATAATCTTAAAAAAAAAAGTTTTAGTAAAAGAAGGGCAACGGCAAGTCAATGGTGTCCAAATATGGCACCCCAAATTATGGCACTTTGATATAAGGATTATTTTAGGCTGAAGGCAACTGAGAAGGAACAGATAAAAAGGAAAGCTCTCTGCATTACTCCTACTTGCCTAAAATAGGACATAAACTGATAAAGTTATTCCCCCTCCTCTCTCTACTGGGAAGGACAAAAATTACCCTTATCAGCCCAGAGGCAGCACCGAAGGAATCTACAAAACAGACATCACTAACTACCCTCTCTCTTCCACTGGTTCTCCCATATATTTACCTTGCTCCAATTTGTCAACCTGTAGACTCAAAGTTCTCTTCCTTTGTTTGGCCACTTCTCCGAAAATTTATTGTTGTGTTTTTAAAGACTATCCCTTTGTTTGGTGCCCTGGAAAATCTGACAGCTACAAAGATTTAGATGATTGCAAGGGACGCCTTTCAGAATGTGGCAAGGACCAGTGCGACAAGTTCTCAGAAAGATAACTTTTAGGAAAACAAATACATGGAAGTTTTGCTTTGGTTCATTCCATTGAAATGTTTTTTTAAGAAGATTTTGTTTATTTATTTGAGAGAGAGAATGAGAGAGAGAGTGAGAGAGAGAGCATGAGTGGGGGAAGGGGCAGAAAGAGACACAGATGCCCCACTGAGCAGGGGGCCTGATGTTGGGCTCAATCCCTTGACACCGGGATCATGGCCTGGGCAGAAGGCAGCTGCTTAACCATCTGAGCCACCCAGGTGCCCCTATGCCATTGAAATATTAATGCCAATACATCTTTTAGAAAATTTTTTTGTGCTCCCAGGGCTACATGTAATCACAGAAGTTAATATTTTCCATAATTGCTTCAGATTTTTTCCCTTTTTACCAAACAGTATATACAGTTGATATCCATCCCCCACTCCATTATCCTAACTATCCAGAGCTACCTTTTCACTGAAGTTACTCTGCATGTTTTTATACTTTTATTACATATACTTGTATTACCTCTGTACATGCATGATAAACAATATACAATATAGTTTAGTATCCTTTTACATTTTTTAAAAAGATTTTATTTATTCATGAGTGACAGAGAGAGAGAGAGAGAGAGAGAGATAGAGACACAGGCAGAGGGAGAAGCAGGCTCCATGCAGGGAGCCTGATGCAACACTTGATCCCAGGACCCCGGGGTCACGGCCTGGGCTGAAGGCGGCACTAAACCACTGAGCCACCCGGGCTGCCCTCCTTTTACACTTTTAATAGAAGTACTGTATTGGGATGCTGAGTGACTCAGTT